TGGGCCAAGGTGGCCCAGTGCGCTTCATGGCCAAATGGGGACTTGAACCTGATTCCCAGCCCAACACTCTAACCATTAACCATCCTGGTTTCCTTTGCATCCTGCAGGGCTTCTCCGTAAGCCACCTTGGCATTGCTTGTCCTAGAGCAAACATTTTAGGAAACCAGTTCTCACCCAGTGTGAGTTCACCTTGTCTTCTTGTCTTGAATTGCCTTAAAAAGGCCCCTGTGCACCGTGGCTTTAGGAGGCTGGCTGCTCTGTCTCTGGCCCGTGGCTGGGAATGATGGGAGTTATATTCTGACACATCTGGAGAGCGCCCATGTTGGGGAAGGCTGCTGTGCTGAGAGGGGCTGAGAAACAGAGTTTTCTAGTAAGTTGGGATGTGGACAGAGGTGCAGCCAGGCAGGTCCTGACGCCCCCTTGGGGTGCTGTTCCTCACTGGGACTTGGGAACATGCTGAGCCTCCTTACAGAGCATAAGGGGGGTCCTGAGGGGGCAGAGGCGGAGCCTCCCCAGCCCAGCATCCTCTTCCCGTGCCCCAGAATGTTGCCAAGCACTGCCAGGCCCAGGCTCTTGAGAGATCTGCCTTGGAGAACCGAGCTGGGCAACAGCAGGGGCCCCTCCTCTTCCTCTTCCTCCTGCTTGCATGCTGGCTTGACAGCAGAGGAGGAGCCCCTGAGCAAGCAGGCCATGGCGTCTGTTGCTGCTCCTTCTCATCCCCACCATGGCCTGTGTCTCAAACCCGACTCTCCCTTTCTTTCCCGAGACTCCGAGACTCTCGACAGGTCTTTACCAGGCAGGGTGAACGAATGTTGAACCCAGACTGGAAACTTCCCTCCAGCCCTCCCCTCCCACTCGCATTGCATCCTGAGGGGACGTGCTGCTGGAGGGCTAACCAGTGAGAGCTCGACTGGGTGGCTCCGCTCTCCCAGTGCCTTGTCATGGGGTCAGGGACTGGGCAAGGCAGCAGCTCTCCCTCCTCTCCTAAGCTGCCCCCCCTTCCAAAAATGTGTTTTCACGGTCAGCCTGGGACACTGTGGGCCACAACGTTGATGGGGCTTCAAAGGGTTCTGCCCCCACCCCACTTTGATACTCCTGCCCTCCCACAGCCTCTTCCTCGGGGCCCTCCTCTTCAGAGTCCTATAATATGGGCTCTAAGAAAGTCGGCAAAGAGGAAGTCCCTGGCCACTCACTGCAGACTGGGCCACAGCAAAAAGGAGGTGAACCAGACCAAATCCAGGGGACTTTGGCCTGTGTGCCCCTCCTTGGGTGGGAGCCCCCAGCAGGTGCCCCCCCCATCCTGCCCAGGAGAAACCCATGAGCAGGGTTTGTGGGGAACAGGCCCCTAAGCCTTTGCTCCCAGCAACTGATATTCACAGATATGCTGCCTCTGATGAGGGCCAGATTATATGGCCATTAGGAGCAGTAGCCATTCCAACAGGCTGGAGGCGCCCAACTTCTCTGAATCAGGGGACCCCATTCCCTTCCCAAGAAGGTTTCAGGGGCCACATTCCAGTGTGGGGAAGGCCAAAATCCTAAGGGGTGGGGCCAAACTACCCCAGATGCCAGCATATTTTATCTTAAAGCCCAGTAACTGAGCCATTTCAGCCACTCAGAATGGGGAAAATGCACAAAAACTGGGACCCGCCCCCCCCGAACATTTAGTGGTTGTGGGCAAGTGAAAGAGGACATTGGTTAGGGTTAGGGTCTGCAAACTCTGGAGGGCTGGATTGGATCCCAGGATCACCCCCAAGTCCTCCCAAGCTACATACTCCTGTGGTAGGTTCTGCCTGTATGTTTCTACAGAAAGCGCAGGCATTACAGATGCCAAAAGTCCTTAGAACTTTCTCTTATCCAAAGGAAACTAAACCTTCCAGTACTGACCCAGGATTTCTCATAACTTACAGGACACAACGATGGATGTCTAGACAACGTGAAGAGAATATTTTCTGTACTGAAAATGCTTCTAAGGACAGCAGAACAGGCAGAAAGTAGGGACTTAAAAGCCCCGATATGAGTAGGTATATCAAAAAGTGTTGAGATGGTTGAGATTACCAGGCTGTGCAAGTCCATGGTTTGCTTGGATTGCTATGGAAAGTTTGCCATCAAAGCCTTTTAGGGATTATGAACATTGTTGATACGGTAGCTTTGGAAAGTCACAGTGATTCAGTGGATAGAGGGGGGATGCAGACTGGAGAGAGCTGTTTGTGTCCCTCATTCCAGCCATGAATCACACTCGGTAAGTTTGTGTCAGCCACTGTTTCTCAACCTGACCCTCTGTTTAGTGTTGTTGTGAGCTCAAAATTGGGTAAATCATATCAGTCAGTCCTTGTACGCCAACTGAGTTGTCATTTCACATCATGTGATGTGGCAGCTCCTCAGCCCACATGCTGTACTGTAATTCACACATAGGTAGTCCTGTAGACTTGTCCTTGGTGACAAAGCGTGTAGTCGAAAACACCTCCTGCCTTTTGCAGTTATTTTCCTATAAACCAAAACATGCCTGAGCACAAAAGTACCCCAGAATCTCTATAGGAATGTTATATGGGGTACTTTTATACCCCAAACAATAAGCAACAAGAAGGGAAAAGAAGAAGTTCAGTGCAGATTATCTTATTCTCTTTTAAAGCTAAGATTCTTAGCTAAAACCTCCAGCAAGCAGAATTTACATCTGCGGAAGGAAAACTTTGCTATGATTTTTAAAAATTTAGTAGGACAAACTATTGTTAGGCAGAAAAAAGTCAATGGGATAAGCACTGTTGGGCAGATTTTCTGATTTGCACAGCCTCAGAAAGGTTTAAACTTTAAATTACCCATAGCTGCTGAGAGTTGAAAGCCATTCTTGTGTTGACTGCATCTCCTACGGGGGGCATTCAGCCCAAATAGAGGCTTTTCATATGTAGCATTTTTGTTGCTCAAGGCACTCTTGTCTGGGGTCAAAAATGACCCCCAGTGTGACTAATTCTAGGCCTTTTGTTGTTGCAGTCTCCCTGAAGTTAGGGCTATAATAAGTATATAAATGTGATAGAAAAAAAGAGTAAAGATAGTGTAATGCAGTGGTGGGCAGACTGCAGGCTATTGGTTTAGCTGAGCTCTAGCTAAATTTGTACAAGAGACCAGTCGTCTACCAGGCCAGAGAAAAGTTCAAACGAGTAGCTAGATGCTCTCTGTGTTAGTAGTCTGATGCAAAATTCAGGCACTGAAACCCTTGAATCACTTACTCCCCTCCTCAGTGAGTCCGCATATATTAGTACAAATCTGCATGCAAGAGTCACGCTATGCAGTGTTGACTACATAACATGGACATAACCTAAGAGGAGCCGAGTGTATTCTGTTCAGACAGTGACCGACCCGCTGTCTGTGGGAAGCTGACAAGGTAGGATATGAGTGTAATCGCACCCTTCCACCCATGTTCCCCAGCAGCTGGTGCACACAGCCACCCTTCCACTAGTACTAGAGGTAGCATAGAGCCATCAGGACTAGAGCCGCCTTCTCCTCCATGAATTTGCCCAGTCCCTGTTGTGAACCCTGTTTAGGCCATTCACACTCAAGTCCCCTGGAGACTTGGAAACAAGTGATGCTAGTTTTACAGGTGAGAAATACAGAGGCTGAGAAAGAAGCAAAAGGTCAGTCCTGGCTTTTCTTCTTTATAGTTGCAGTTTTGTAACTATTAGGGGTCATAAACCTGAAAGCTACTGAAAACTATCCGGATAATAGCCAAGGGATCCCCTACCCTTAGCGTGCAATGCTATACCTAGTTAGACAGAAGAAAAAGTCCTACAACTCCTAGCATAGCTGGCTGAGGCACGCTGGGAATTGTAGGATTTAGTCTGTCAAATTATGCATAGGTCTGCGTCCTTAACATCGCGGGCAGAATGCCTTAGTTTGTTGGATTTGAATGTCTGCTTTGCTGTAAAGGTCAGTTACGTGACTTATCTCGCCTACTTTGCAGGGTTGTTGTGAACACAACAACTGGGGAGGTTGTTTACAATATGCTCCTTAAAGGAAGGGTGGAATAACTACATCAAATACCGACAAGCTGAAAAGAGCCACGCCGCCTGAAACGAAAGGTCCATTCACGCAGCTTCCCCAGGATCCCGCAAACCAGGCGCCCCGGTTCCTCAGCGTGTGCGGCACATGGGCGCCTGTCTCCTTTGCCGCCAGGAAATATCTTTTCAGATCCAAGCACATGCTCAACATGGAGCTTCCATCCTTCCCTCGCCTCGCACACTTTAGAGCCTTCTTTTCAGGGGGTCTCCAAGCGCTCGGCATGCCCAAGCCCCGGGCCAAAGGGAGAAACGAACCCCAGCAGAACCGGGGAGGGGCGGTGGGTGCGCAGAGGAAACAAGAAGGCTCGCTAAAAGGCTTCCCCAACGCGGAGTGCAGAACAGGGGGAGAAAGAAACCCAGCAAGCCGAAACATACCCGGCTGTTGCCATCTTTTAATTTAATTGTGTTTTATTACATCATCGTCATCCAGGGCAGGCGGGGAGCGTTTCGTCCAAGCCGCGTGAACGCTTCTCGGCGCGGTCGGCTCTTTGGAGAGGAGCCCTCAGCGGCCGCGGCGCTCCGGCTCCGCGCCTCGCTCCTCCTTCCCTGCTCTCAGCTAGTCGGCGGTGGCCGCGGGGCCGGCTCGTTATTTGGCTAATTTTTCTATTGGCGGGGAGTTGCTGGGGTGCGGGGGAGGAGGCGGCTCGGACCCCGAAGGAAAGTAAAGTGCGGCCGGGCACTTGCTCTCTCGACGGAGGGCCGGGCCTGCCCCTCCTGCCCTCGCAAGTCCGGGTGGGGTGGACTCGCGCAGCACATGGGAAGCGGCTTGCAAGCCCGGCGGCGGCGGCGGCGGCGCAGCGGTGGAGGCGGCCGAGAGCGGTGCCCGTCGCCTCGGTGCGGATTTTGGTGAAGCCCGAAGTTCCTCTTTCGGGAGCCGGGCTCCTGCCCGCCGTGCCGCTCTTGGGAGACACACAAGCACGCACACACACGGTCTGTGTCATCGCGCCCAGCAGGGGCGAGAGCAGGGGAGGAAAATCCCTCCGAGCCAAATTTGGCACTGGAGGAGGCAGCATTAGCAGGACGGCGGCGGCGGAGAGGACGAGCAGCACGAGCAATGCCGCCTCCGGGGCTCTGTGACGCCCGCTGAATGAAGCGGCCGCCGAGAAGCAACGGATCCACCGCGAGCGAGCGAGCGAGCGAGCGAGCAAGAAAGGCAGGCAGGCAGGCAGGCAGGCAGGCAGGCAGGCAGGCGCCGCACTACAACTCCCGGCTGCTCGGGCTTGCCATGCATCAGCAGGACCGTCGCCCTTCCGTGCTCGGCCGCTGGTGAACCCCCCCATCGAGCCACCCCTCCCGGCGCGCCCGGGCTCTTCCTTCCTCTTCCACCCTCCCTCCCTCCGCTCTCTTTCTTGCACTCTTTCTTTCTTCCCTCTTTAAAATGACGATCGGTTTGGCCGGCTCATCATGGCCAATGGGACGGGGGCGGCGGCGGTCATGCTGAAATGCGTGGTGGTGGGCGACGGGGCGGTGGGCAAAACTTGCCTGCTCATGAGCTATGCCAACGACGCCTTCCCGGAGGAATACGTGCCCACCGTCTTTGACCATTACGCAGGTAAAAGGTCCGGGGACGGGAGGACGGCGGGGGGGGGGGGGCGCCAGGAAACGTGGCTCGGTCGTTCTCAAGTGCTGAGTAAGGGCTGTCTCTGCCCGCCCCCTCCCCACGCCCCGCTCGCCCCGGCCGCCTCCAGCCCTCCCGCTCGCTGCGAGAAGTTCAGAGAAAAGTTTGCTCTCCTTCCCCCCTCCCGGCTTTTTGGAGAGTCCCCCGCGGCCGCGCTTTTTCCAGTCCCTTTGGCTTCCCCCTCTCGCCATGCTTTCCCCCATTCGTTTTCGATTCCCGCTCTCTTCCCCCCCCCAGCCTTTTGAGATCCCCCCAAAACCATGCTTTCCCCCAGTCTTTTGAGATCCCCCCAGACGCGCTATGCACCTCCCGCCAGTCTTTCTGGATTCAGCCCCCCTCCCCTCCAGTCCCTCTCCTGCCTTCCGCTTTGACCTTCTGAGACGTGCGCCTAGATTTTTATTTCATTCGTACTTTCTTGGAACCTTTGCAAAGCTTTGTCCTCGATGGCCCTTCCCCGAAACGTGATTCCTCTGCCCTCGACGGCCGAAGTGGCTGGTGATGGCGGGGAGGTGGGAACGGTTTGGACTGACCACCTTAGATCCCTGCCAGAATGATGGAAGAAGGGCAGGAATTGCCCCCCTTTCCATAATAGGTCACCTGAAAGGGAAGCAAAGAGGTGGCAATGGCTGTTAGGGAGGGTGGAGGGGGTCTGAAGCAACACTGGATAGGACTTTTTGATATTCTGTGACTCAGAGGGGAGGGTGAATAGCATAGAGGGGGAAATACTCTTTTGGAGAGGAGCTGAAGAACCCTCAGCACACCTGCGCACCCATTCATCCCAGGTATGGGCACCAGCATGTTTGTGTGCTGAGTGATTCCAGGGATTCAAATGGATCCTTCTCGGAGTCCCAATTAGGCCCTGGGGGTTTGGTAGATACCCACACCCCCTCTGCTGACCCTCACTCTTTCCCCTCACCAGCCAGATTGTTGGTTTCCCAGCTTTCGTGCAGTTTTCCCCATCCAAGAAAGGCTGAAATGGCTCCCCTAACACAGCCATAGAGTTAAGCAAAATGGTTCTGATGCCTTTTATTCCTTTGGCCCCACCCCTTTTGGCCCTGGTCCAGCCCATAGTGGCTAATTTTTCTATTGGCGGGGAGTTGCAGACTTTGATCCCTTTTTGAAATTGAATTTGGCCCTTGGACACCAAGTGGGTCAACATCTCTCTTATAGAAACATGGAGTGAGGATGCCGTTTGTATTTTATTTATTAATTAGATTTATATCATGCCTTTTTTCTTTCAAAGAATTATATGCAACTGACACAATTCTCCTCTCAGTCTTATCCTCACAACAGCCCTGTGAGGTAGGTTGGGCTGAGAGTCTGTAACTGGCCTGAAGTCATCCATTGAGTTCCCCTGGGACTAGAACCCAGATCTCTTGAGCCCCAGCAGCCCTCAGTGCCACGCAGTACAGTCCTAAGGGTGTTTAGATGGAAAAGTTGTATAACTTTTTTCTGTCTAAACTTTTCCCTTTCTAAAATATGCATAGGATCGCACCTTTAAACATGCATAGTTTGCCCCTCTCTTCTGCTTTGCTCCTTTGCAAGAATCTTTTGAATGTCTATCTTGCAGAGATGCAAGGGGCATTTTCGAAGAGTAATTTATTTTATTTTGTTGTCATTGCTCTGCCCCTTTTAGGCATCTGTACATTTTGGAATGATGAGTCTGGATGAGTAATGCACGCCACTCATTTGCAGTGTGGTCTTGTAGAGAAAAGGGGGGGGCATCTGTGTCTGTGTGTCCCCCACCCCCTGGTGCCTGGCTTCATTTTCTGTCTTTCTCTTTGCAGTCAGTGTGACTGTCGGTGGCAAGCAGTATCTCCTTGGGCTCTATGATACTGCAGGACAGGTAAGTCATTCAGTGATCCAGCAGCTCTGCGCAGGAAGGAAAATGTATTGCCTTAAAGAGAGAAAAAGCAAGAAAGTATTCAGCATATGGTGTTTTCTAAAGCTTTGGCTCTTTTCATGCTTACTTACACACACTGAATTATTCAGAGACGTCTGTTTATGTCGAGGTGTCTCACTACAGCAGCTTGTAATAATCGCCTCATTTACTGCCTTGTCACGGATCTTTGGAGAACGAACCTGCTTCCCCTTGGCTGCCCCCTCCCCAAATTACAAACAGCTCTGTTATAGCATGATCCAGCCCCTATCGTACCATGAAAGCAAACAGCCCTATGAGATACTTTTATTTTTAGTTCCAAATGGCTGGGTCTTCTTTGGAGTTGTGTCTTGCTTCTCATTGGTGAACGGGCAACATGAGCCTCTGGTCTGATTGGTGAATAATGGCATCATCTAGTGTTATGGGAAGGCATTTTGTCTGGATGTGTTTATTGCAGCCCAGGGATGCATTGCCTTCCATCCTGAAATCATTCCTTTGAGTCAAAACATTTGCAAGGAATGACCGAATAGTTTTCGAGCATGAGACAGGTTACCTCCCCTCTCTTCCAAGCGCATCTGCCAGGAGAGGAGAGAAAAGCAATCAGGAAATCCCAAACTGCAGCTTTTGCATCCCAGTCTGACATGATGAATAGCAATAGCCACTGACTGGTGTTTCCCAGGTTGCATTCTTCTAGACATCATGGTATGTGTTTTTTGTGATACTGTAACAGTAAATTTACTTGGTAATGAGCCAGAATGCTTTAAAATACAGGCATCATCAAGGATGCTACCTGGCTCCAGAATAGTCTATCCAAAATATACTTGGAAGCAAGTTAGTGGATCCATAATATCTGGCTCTGAAATGGTCCTTCTAAAATATATTTGGGAACCAGTTTTGCTTCCTTAGTATCTCTGTGCATCTCTGACTGGTACCAGATCCAATTCATAACAACACAAGAGGGGATCAGACAGATCCATCTAGACAACCTGGTGCTCTTTGGATGTTGTGGATTTCAACTCATCAACCCCAGCCAGCTGAGCTAGGAGTCAGCAGTGCTGGGAGTTGCAGGTGAAAACATCTGGAGGTCACCAGGGCAAGGAGGGAGGGTCTGAATTATCATCCTGTTTCCCATGGAGGTCAAACGGATGCCTCTGGGAAACTCACACCAGGATGAGAGGCAGCTGCTCTGTCCCACTCAGGTTTCCTAGCAACTGGTACTCCAAGGTGTACTTCCTGCAATAGATAGTCATTGTGACTAGGAGCTGTTGATAATCACATCCTCCATGAGTTTGTCCAGTCATCCTTTTAAAGCCATATAAGCCAGATATCACTGCATCTTTTGAAGGCTGTGGCTTCCTTGATGGAGTCAATCCATCTAAGTATTAATGGCAAAAAATACCTCCAAAGAGATTTTTAAAATAGTTAACCAGGAAGAAGAATGTTTTAAAAGACAACTCTAAAATTATTGATATTATTATTATTTATTTTGTTTCTGTACCTTTTCTAAATTAAAAGGCTTGAGAGAACACAAAGGTACTGAAAAGACAACCGAGCAGGTACCTGGTGGACCCCTCTAGTGGGAATTCCATGAAAAGATTTGCTCATGAAGAACCACCTTTCAAAACTCCATATTTTATTTTATTATGCATTTAATATATTTATATCATACATTTTTCCATTCAAGGAACTCAAGGCAGTTTACATAATTCTCCTTCTCCTCTCAATTTTATCCTCACAACAACAGAGGCAGGTTGAGCTGAGAGTTTGTGACCCAGTCAGCTCCATGGCTAAGTGGGTCTAGAACCCAGATTTCCCAAGTCCCAGGCCCACACTCTTAACCACCACATGGTACTTGGGGCAGGGCCTCCAGCGATGATCTCAGCGCTTGGGTCAGAACATATGGAAAGAAGTAGTTCTTCCGAGGCTGTGGTCTTCAGAACCACCACTTTGACTTGAAGAGATACGTACTAGCCAACCAGTCTTCTGATTTGAGTATGACGTAGCTTCATATGCTCATCAGGGTTCTTGGCTCAATAAAATTGTTGGTAGCATTTATGGAGAAAAGAAGGACAAAAAGATGACTGGGATCTACTGGCAAATCTCTGGGAGACGTGCAAGTGGATCATTAATATGACTTAACTATTTCTGTCCCTCCTGAGACAAAACAGCGAAGAGGACCAGTAGCAGCTTTTTGCGCAAGCTCTCAGTACTTGCAATGAAGATTCCTGGCCTGAGCACATGCGTAGAGGTTAACCTTTATCCTTCTCTAATCTTCAATTTTAATTAACCCAAGATTTGCTGCTCTGTCAGTTGGATACATTCTTCTGCCACTTTGCACATTTGGATAGGAGTTTGCTGCCCATACAGTATAGAATCATAGAATAGTAGAGTTGGAAGGGGCCATGAAGGCCATTGGGTCCAACCCCCTGCTGGTGCAGGACACCAAGTTACACCATCCCACTCAGATGGCTATTTAATTTCCAGTTAACCTACAGTTAGTTTTTAATTTAAATGTGGGTTCTTTGATCAACAGTTAATGTATAGTTTCTTGTTTAGATGTCATTAACAAGCACCTTAGCACAGCTAGAGATTTCTTATGGTGATGGCATGTGCTATGGCAAATTGTGGGTCAATTAACCCACAGTTTGATAGCAGCCTGTGATGGGCCCTGTGTCAGTGTCCCTGAGCCAGTTTGCAAATGTTTGGCTCCAGTTGGCAGATGTTAAGCTTCTAGCAAAATTAACCCTGAAGGAGATCCTACTGGCCTGAAGTTTGCCGACCCATGTTGCCTATAGCAGGGCTGGACCGAAAATAGATATCCATATGTTTTTGGCCTCAGCTCCCAGAAGCCCTGCCAGCATAGCCCATGGTTAGGAATGCTGAGAGTGAAGATCCAAATCTCTTTTCTTCTTGTGCAGATTAAAAGGGAGCCTGAAGTAAGACTGAAGGGGCTCCTGAGAGCATGGACACTCAGCCTCTGTCTCTTCCATCCTCCTTAAATCAAGGGAAACCCTTCCAATTTTGCTGATGGAAGTCTGCCTTGCATTAGTGTGGCTGGAGGAAGCTAGAAAAAGGGCTATAAACAGTTGCTATTCAGTTAAACAACTGGGTGGATCCTTTGATCTGGTTTCCTGGGGCTGGCATGTTGTCCCATTCACGTGTGCCTCCAGTAATCAGGGGTGCCCCTTGTGTGGCCACCATCTCTTAGGACAGATGGAGAACATAATAGCTAAGGGAACTGGGGGTCTGGTGGTGGTGGCAAAGAGGAAAGATGGGCGCTTGATAGGCTGGTGGGAGAGATTTTACCAAGCTAGAGGTAAAATCTCAGGGAGTCTGCTGAGACCTACAGTGCCCCGGAAGGTTTCTGAGAAAAGAACTAACAAAGGACTTTAGCTTTATCTTTTTTAAATGCTAGATTTTTGTTGCCACTTTCAAAATACTCTTTAATATTTTAATGTTGGTTATATTTCTTTATTGTTTTATTACATATGGTATCCTGATAACCTCAATTATAGGGTAATTCATAATCCTATAAGGAATCACCCTATAATTGATGCCTGGTGAAGGGGGGTTCAGTCCTCTTAGCTGCCCTTGGTGCAGTGAGTGAAGAAGGTGGCGTATTAACAGAGAAAACACAAACGTGGAGGAGACAATTCAAGAGGGAAGCTTTTGCCTTCACCAACTCCAGTTTATATAGCCATTGTCTTTCAGGGTGTGCATCACTGCTCAATTTAAACTGCTCTTGAGTCCCAAAGTTGTGTCCCCACAGCACTTTCTTCTGTGCTTCTTCAGAGGAAAGCAAAAGTCATAATAAAGAAGAAATAAGACCTTGAGAAACAAAATCACTAGTAAAAGTGCCACATCAGCTTCAGCATCTTGGGAAATAAATAAGAATGATGAGGAACTGCCTGCACTGCTGGGACCTTCAACAAAATGTTGTTGTGTATCCATAGCCCTAGTTGAAGGCAGGAGAGGAGGAAGACCAACTGGGAGATGGATTGATTCTATTAAGGACTCCAGAGCCTTGAGTTTTCAAGAGCTGAGCAGGGCTGTCAAAGACATTCATTGATAGGGTCATCATGAGCTGGAGATGCCTCGATGGCCTGTTACAACATCTTTAGTCCAGAACAGGGAATGGGAACCATGTCTTTCTCCTGAGCAATCCACTCTGTTCTGCCCTGCTCTTTGGTTTCCATTTTTTTCTTTTCCAGTTCTCACTTACTGAGCAAGCGCAGTCCTCAGTGAACTGTGTTCATTTCCAATATCGGAGGAAGCTTGTTACAGCATATAAGATTATCCCTGAGTAGTCTGGAAACATGCAACCCTTAAAACAATCTGATGAAGTAAGCCAGAATTAATATCCCTCTATTACAGATATGGAGGGAGTTGAGGCCAAGAGATAATTGTTTGCCAAATTCACCCTCAATAAATTCAAGAAAAAAGATGAATTGGAAATTTCCAAATAATTGAACAAACGTGGAATTAAAAAGTCATGAAGGATGGATGGATGGATGGATGGATGGATGGATGGATGGATGGATGAATGGATGGAGTTTCCTCCTGAATTGCCCTTCTCTCGGTGGGTGCTCAAGGCAATTTACAATAAAATTACAACCAGCATTATACAACAATTCCCAGCAAAATTAAATAAAACTAAAATGCATATATTGCAATACAACGGGAACATACTGCAAGTTAAAGGCCTTTAAATTGCTTGTCCTGCAAGAGAAAGGAAATCCAAACAGTTGAGGTCAAAAGATCTGATCTGATCTGTAAGGTCACAAGACAAGTAGAAAACCAGCCCTTTGATAATCAAAGTTGCCTTCTCAAACCGTTTCAGATGGCAGCTCAGTAGCTCCCAACCACTGATTTATCTTAAGGTCTTACTGGCTTGAGGCCAAGCTGGTACAAGGGGCTTATCCTACCCCTACTCCAGGCATCTATTACTAGGATTGGTTTCCCTGCTT